GTCGGGGGGGGGTTCGGGAGGGGGGGTCGGGAGGGGGGGGAGTTCAAACGTAAACACGAGCGCGTCCTTTGCTACCTCGCACAGGGCGTCTTCTCCGCGCCCCCACCCTGCCAGGAACTCGCCCTTGGCCCCGGTGTGCCTGCGGTACGCGAACTCAGGCCCAAGCCGCGCCTTCACCGGGGCCTGCGTCGCCGACAGCGCGCCACCGCCACCGCCGCCACCTTCCAGCCTCACGCTTCCGGGTGGCATATTTCGCTAGTTTCGCCTGGGCACGCACGAAGTTTGCGACATTACGCTTGTCACCCGCCACCCCCCGTCACTCCGTACACGAGCGTGCACTCCTGTAGCGGGATGCCCAGCCTCCCGAACACCCACGCGATGAACTGAAACAGCGGCACCAGCCTCCTGCATTGGAGGTATTTGGTGTACGAGGTCCTTCCCTCTGTCCGCAGAACGCACAGTTGTCCGGGGTCCCCGGCGCGACCCGGCTAACCCACACGGCCGAGGCCAAAGTCTGGTGCGCCAACCTCCATTGGGAGGTCGCCGCACCGCTTGGTCGTGGGGGGGGGGGGGGGGGGGCGGTATAAGTCCCACCACCGGGGGGGGGGGCCACGCTGCCCGGCGCGGTAGAAGTGCCCTCTCCACTTCGTGTCCGGCAGCCCGTCCAGTTCCCCGAGGAGCAGCGACTTAACGCAGGCGGCGTAGATGCGGTCCTTACGGGCACCCTCGAGCGGCACGTCCCTGCAGTGCCTGAGCTGCGGGAGTCGCCCGGTGTCCTCGCGGTCAGCGGGGGCGTGGCAGGAGAAAAGCCAGCCGGGGGGGGAAAAGGGGGACCCCCTCCACCACCCGCCCGCGTCCCCCCCCAGCCGCACCCCGAGCCTCCGCGTCGTTTGCAGGACTTCCCTCAGCGTCCCCGGCGCCGGCGAGCACGGTGCGGCCGCCCCGGAGACGTCCAGCGCCGTCCGCCACGCCCGCCGCCCGGGGGGGCCAGCGGGTCGCCGACGGTCTTGACTCCTCCGGCCACGAACCGCAGGGCCAGGGCGCGTTCCCTGCCGAGGTCTCGGAAAAGGGGAATTGGCGAACAGCGGCTCCGCCGCGAAGAGGGCCGCACCATAGCCCGCGGCGAGGCCTCGCCCATCCGAGGCCTCGCCACGCGTCGTCGAGGAGACCAAGGTGGTACGTGGGCAGCGGGGCCTGGTCGACGAGCCCCGGGTCGGTCAGGAAGAGCCCCTGGCCGTACCCCAGCCGCCCGGCCTGTTTCAGCGGGCCGAGGGGCCAGGGACCGCCAGGGCCGCTCCCCCGCCCCGTACACCGGGCGTCTCACGTGCTCTAACACGGAACGTCATCACCCGGCCGGCGACGCTCACGAGGCCCCTGGCCCCCTTCCTCCACCGGCAAACAAGAGGGCGCCTGGCTTCTGCCGGTGCCTCCCGCGCCACGTGAAAGGGGTGAACGCCCTCTGCACCCTGTCCAGCAGCCCCACCGGGGGTTGGAGGACCTTGGCCTTGTGCCAAATTAACGCCGCTGCCAAATTGTTTACCACAAGGATGACATTCGTGGGGCGAACCTGGCCCACGCCGTCAGCGTCGCCACCTTTTTTCGCCTCTACCTCCTCCCAATTCCTACTGACGGTGGCCGGGTCACCCAGGCACACCCCCGGATATCGTGCGCCCTCCTTACCGCAGACCACTCGCCTCGGGAGTGTCAGGGCGCACGCCGTTCCTTGCGGCCTCAGGCCCAGCGCCTCAATTTACCCTCGTGGAGGAGGCTCTCTCGTAGAGGCGGACCGCCTCCACGTCCCGCGCGTCATTCGCCACCACGCACACATCGTCCGCGTACGCCGAGAGCGTGACCGGCGCGTCACCCGATCCCGGGAACCTAAAACCCGACAACGTCCTTCTCAACCTCAACAGGAGCGGTTCAATACACAGGGTGCATAGTAGCCCGGACAGCGGGCATCCCTGTCGGACCCACCTCGTGACGGCTAAGGGGCCACGGAGCCTGCCATTGAGTTTCACGAGACTACTCACGTTCGTGTATAGGAGCCGAACGTGCGCCATCAAACCTTCGCCGACACCGAAAGCTTTTAGCGCCGCGTGCAAGTACTCGTGACTAACGCGGCCAAAGGCCTTCTCCTGATCGAAAAAGAGAAGGCCGGCGTCCACCCCACGGGCGGCCGCCGGGTCAATCACGTCCAGCACTACCCCTATATTGTCGTGTATGGTCCTTCCGGGGATACAGTACGACTGGTCCGGACGCACGACGCTTCCCGCCACGATTTTTAGGCGGTTCGCCAGCGCCCTCCGCAATGATCTTGTAGTCCGTGCACAGCACGGACACCGCCCGCCAGCTCTCCACGCGGCGCAGGCCACCCTCCCTTGGGCAGAAGGGTGACCACCGCCCTCCTGCTGCTCTGCGGCAGTTCCCCGGTCCTCAGGCTGGCGTGGAGCACGTCGGCGAGCGCGGGGCCGAGCTCGCCCCCGGGAAAGTCTTTAAAAAACTCCGTTGGGAGGCCGTCAATCCCCGGGGCCTTCCCCGCGGCGAGGCCGTCCACCGCGGCCTCGAGTTCCGGGATGGTGACCGGCCTCTCCAAAAGCTCCGACTCAGGAGGGGCCGGCCTAGGGACCGTCGTCCAGCAGCGCCTCCGGCGGGTCCTCTTGGACGCTCTCCGCCGTGAGCAGCGCCCCGTAGAAGTCCGTGACGAGCTTCGCGACCTCCGCGTCGCCCGTCCGGACCTCGCCGCTCGGCGCCAGCAGGCTGGTGATGACGTTCCTCGCGACCGGCCGGCTCCGTTGTCTGAAGAAGAGCCTGGTCGGTGCATCCAGGCGGTGCAGGTGCTGCGTCTTACGCCCCACGAAACCCCCTGTAGGCCTCCTGGTCGGACACAGCCCGCAACAGGCGCCGCTGTTCGTGGAGCACACGACGGCCCGCGGCGGTCTGGTGGAGGCCCAGCTCCGCCTCCACCACCAGCAGCTGATCCCGCAGCCTCTCCTCCTCCTCCTCCTCCTCCTCCCGTCTGGCCGCGGCGTGTTGGCTCAGGAGGCGCCGGTACAACACCCCCACCCGCGCCTTTGCGTTGTCCCACCACTGTTGGAGCGAGGCGAAAAGGTCTCTCTTATCCACCCACACCTTCCAGAAAGCCCTGAAGGCCGCCTGGAAATCCTTGTTCTCCAAAAGTTGTACACTGAAGCGCCAATACGGGCTACGCTGCCCGACGATGGGGAGGCGGAGAGACACGCGACCATCAGGTGGTGGTCAGAGAAACCCGAAGGGACCACTCCGCTCTCTCCCCGAGCAGGTTGGCCCCCCCCCCCCCCACCCCCCCGGCGCTGACGTATACGCGGTGAAGTCTCGCCAGGCTGACTCGCCCCTGCGCGTCGCACCGGCACCACGTGTACCGGCGTCGGGCCGGGTGGTGAAGGCGCCACGTGTCTAGCAGGTCGTACTCCTTGACGACGGCGGGCCCACGCTCCCGCGGACTCCGGGTGGAGGTTCGGGGCGCATTTCGGTCGAGAGCCGGTGCGAGCGTGCGATTAAAATCTCCGCCCACGACCGCAAGTGCGCCGTCGTCGCCGGCTTCCCCGAGGGCGCCCCTCAGCGCGTCCGGGGAAACGCTCCCCCCCCTCCCCCCTCTCTCTCACGGCTCTCGCGCTCGGCGCGTACAGGTTCACGACTCGCAGCTTCGTGCCCGCCGAGCGGTGATGAGGCGGTCCCTCTCACCACCTACTCTGGAAGCCGCTTGGTCCGCCGCGGAGCCGTTCTTGGCTTTGCGTTTCCTCCTACGGGCCAGGGTGAAGCCCTTCGTCGTCGGCCTCGGGGGTCGGTGCGCCGCAGCTGGACACCGGGTCGACGTGGATCGGTTGCCGCCGCGGCTGTCGCTGCTACTGCTGTTGTTGTTGTTGTTGTTGCTGGTGCTGCTGGTGCTACTGCTGTTGTTGTTGTTGTTGTTGCTGGTGCTGCTGGTGCTGCTGCTGCTGTTGTTGTTGTTGCTGGTGCTGCTGGGGTAGCTGCTGCTGCTGTTGTTGTTGCTGTTGTTGTTGTTGCTGGTGCTTCTGGTGCTGCTGCTGCTGCTGTTGTTGTTGTTGTTGCTGGTGCTGCTGGGGTAGCTGCTGCTGCTGTTGTTGTTGCTGTTGTTGTTGTTGTTGCTGGTGCTTCTGGTGCTGCTGCTGCTGCTGTTGTTGTTGTTGTTGCTGGTGCTGCTGGGGTAGCTGCTGCTGCTGTTGTTGTTGCTGTTGTTGCTGGTGCTGCTGGTGCTGCTGCTGCTGCTGTTGTTGTTGTTGCTGGTGTTGTTGTTGTTGTTGTTGCTGGTGCTGCTGGGGTAGCTGCTGCTGCTGCTGCTGTGGCTGTGGCTGGTGCTGCTGGGGTAGCTGCTGCTGCTGTGGCTGCTGTCGCCGCTGCCGTTTCCGCTGCTGCTCTGCTTGTGCCGGTGTGGATGGTACGGCTGGAGCGTCATTCTCGTTTTTCTTGCTCGTGCAGTCCCTCCGGGTGTGGCCGCTTCCACCGCACCCGAAGCACCGCGGCAAGGCAGTGAAGGCGTAAACCGTGTGGACGTGCCCCAGTATTGCGCATTTCGGGGTCACATCCAGCTCGGTATCGCCGCCTTTAAGTATCAAAAAAGCGTGGCGCTGCAGCGTCGTGACGAGCGCCATCCTCGGCTTCTTTGTGCGCAGGGGGGGGGGGGGGGGGGGTGTGGAGCATTGCGATCCGCGGCACCGCCGCGCCGAACCTCGGTAAGTCGCGCCGGATCGCCGGCGCTCCCCGGGGAACGGCGGCACGCCCGAGAGCAGTACCCCCCGACCCGCGGGGGTCGCGAGCGGGACGCACGTCAGGGGCAAGCCCGTCGCCCACCGCCAGCCCCGCTTCCACCCCGGGGCGCGCCACCGTCTCCTCCTCCTCCGCCACGTACGCGGTCGACGCCGCGGCTCTCTCTCCCGCTGGGCGGCGGGGCCGCCGGCGTGGCCCACGGCCCAGACGGTGGCCTTCCGGCGGGAAAAGCGACGATGGCGTTCTTCCGCGTGAGGTTCCCCAACTTGGTGTGCTGTGCCACGATGGCGGTCGGCTGTGGCACACCCGCGCTGCTGTTGTTGTTGCTGTTGTTGTTGTTGCTGTTGTAACTCGCGGGGCCGGCCGAGGCGGATTTTCGCTCGAGCGACTCGGTGAGTAAAGTTTAAAAAAAATATATATATATATATAAAATACAGACGGGCGAAAAAAAGTAAAGCAAAAGAAAAGTGGGGATGTCTAAAAGTGGAAACGGGAAGAAAAGGAGGGGAGTCTGGTTTGTTATTCTTCTTCTTTGAAAACTCTCTCTCGGGCTTGGCCTGAAAACGATGGAATGATCAGGCCCCCCATTGTCTCAGGCGAGAAGCGCGGAGCCACACCTGGACGCAGAGAGAGAGAGCGACATGGAGTAGGAAGAGAGGGGGTAGAGAGAGAGGGGGGGGGGTAGAGAGATAACTAATGAGATAGATAACGAAGGAGAGAGAGAGAGAGACAGGGAGAGAGATAGCGAAGGAGAGCGAGAGAGAGAGATGAGCGAGACAGAGAATGAAGGAGAGCGAGAGAGAGATATGACGGTAGAGAGCTCTCTGCATGCAGATCTGAGCTACCCGTCGGAGGCCGTTTGACTGTGGGAAGGGCTGCGTGCAGATGCAGCACTTGTCGTAGTTATAAAGAAAAAAGCGAGAGAGAGCGAGAGAGAGCGGGGGAAAGAGAGAGAGAGAGCGACATGGAGTAGGAAGAGAGGAGGTAGAGAGAGAGAGGGGGGGGGGGAAATCTTTTGTTAAATCTTTCATTTAAAAAGGGGGGGGGGGTTTACATAAAGCAAAGCATTTAAAAAATCGAAAAAAAACCGAAATGATGAACGAAGCAAAGTGCCGACTACGCCGAGCATCTTCTTGTTTCCTCTCTGATCTAAAAAAGAAAACAGAGAGGAGAGAGATCGAGAGATGGCGAGAGGACGATGATCTTTTTTTTTGGTGCTCGCAATTCGCAATTCGTTAATTGGGGTGGCGAGGAAGGGGGGGGGGGACAAACGCGAGTGCCACGGGCGTTTGTGTTCTGTACGGGGCACCGAGGGGTGAACAGTTGGGAGATTTACAATGCTAAGCCTTCTCACGGAACCCGGTGAGCCCGAGTTCGATCCCCCGCTCACGGCGATAACAATGCAGTGGTGGTGGTAGAAGCAGCAGTAGTAGTAGCAGTAGTAGTAGCAGCAGAGGCAGAAGCATTAGTAGAAGCAGCAGTAGTAGTAGCAGCAGTAGAAGCAGCAAGAGGCAGCAGTAGAAGCAGCAGTAGAAGCATCATCAGTAGCAGCAGCAGTAGTAGCAGCAGCAGTAGAAGCAGCAGTAGTAGTAGCAGCAGCAGTAGCACAAGCAGCACCAGTAGAAGCACCAGTAGAAGCAGCAGTAGTAGCAGCAGTAGTAGCAGCAGCAGTAGTAGCAGCAGCAGCAGTAGTAGCAGCAGTAGAAGCAGCAGTAGAGGCAGCATCAGTAGAAGCAGCAGTAGTAGAAGCAGCAGCTGTAGCAGTAGAAGTAGAAGCAGCAGTAGAAGCAGCATCAGTAGAAGCAGCAGTAGTAGAAGCAGCAGTAGTAGCAGTAGAAGTAGAAGCAGCAGTAGAGGCAGCATCAGTAGAAGCAGCAGTAGTAGAAGCAGCAGTAGTAGCAGTAGAAGTAGAAGCAGCAGTAGAAGCAGCATCAGTAGAAGCAGCATCAGTAGCAGTAGTAGCAGTAGAAGTAGAAGCAGCAGTAGAAGCAGCATCAGTAGAAGCAGCATCAGTAGCAGCAGCAGTAGTAGCAGTAGAAGTAGAAGCAGCAGTAGAAGCAGCATCAGTAGCAGCAGCATCAGTAACAGCAGCAGTAGAAGCAGCAGCAGTAGCAGCAGAACCAGCAGCAGTAGAAGCAGTAGAAGCAGCAGTAGAAGCAGTAGCACAAGCAGCAGCAGTAGAAGCAGCAGTAGAAGCGGCAGCAGCAGCAGTAGCAGCAGCAGCAGTAGTAGCAGCAGCAGCAGAAGCTCACTGTGATGGACGAAGGGAATATTTTTACAATCCCCCAGCAAGTATATATGAATATTTTTACCATCGCATATAAACTTTATCATGGGACCTCCTTTGCCAGTACCAAAAATACGATAATAGGGGTTTTTCCCATTTTTTCTGGCAACAAAACAGCTGTGTTAAGATGTAAAAAAAAAAAACTGAAACCTTTCACGAAGAATCATGTCACTGAATTCTGACCACAATGCTTGTGGTCAGAATTCGAACAAAAAAACGCACTCTGATAATAAATAATGTCATTGTCCTTGAAACTGATTGGTCCACACCAGAGACGTCTGATAATAAATAATGTCGTTGTCCTTGAAACTGATTGGTCCACACCAGAGACGTCTGATAATAAATAATGTCGTTGTCCTTGAAACTGATTGGTCCACACCAGAGACGTCTGATAATAAATAATGTCGTTGTCCTTGAAACTGATTGGTCCACACCAGAGACGTCTGATAATAAATAATGTCGTTGTCCTTGAAACGGATTGGTCCACACCAGAGACGTCTGATAATAAATAATGTCGTTGTCCTTGAAACTGATTGGTCCACACCAGAGACGTCTGATAATAAATAATGTCATTGTCCTTGAAACTGATTATTATCAGACGTCTCTGGTGTGGACCAATCAGTTTCAAGGACAATGACATTATTTATTATCAGACGTCTCTGGTGTGGACCAATCAGTTTCAAGGACAACGACATTATTTATTATCAGACGTCTCTGGTGTGGACCAATCAGTTTCAAGGACAATGACATTATTTATTATCAGACGTCTCTGGTGTGGACCAATCAGTTTCAAGGACAACGACATTATTTATTATCAGACGTCTCTGGTATGGACCAATCAGTTTCAAGGACAATGACATTATTTATTATCAGACGTCTCTGGTGTGGACCAATCAGTTTCAAGGACAACGACATTATTTATTATCAGACGTCTCTGGTGTGGACCAATCAGTTTCAAGGACAACGACATTATTTATTATCACACGTCTCTGGTGTGGACCAATCAGTTTCAAGGACAACGACATTATTATTATCAGACGTCTCTGGTGTGGACCAATCAGTTTCAAGGACAACGACATTATTTATTATCAGACGTCTCTGGTGTGGACCAATCAGTTTCAAGGACAACGACATTATTTATTATCAGACGTCTCTGGTGTGGACCAATCAGTTTCAAGGACAACGACATTATTTATTATCAGACGTCTCTGGTGTGGACCAATCAGTTTCAAGGACAACGACATTATTTATTATCAGACGTCTCTGGTGTGGACCAATCAGTTTCAAGGACAACGACATTATTTATTATCAGACGTCTCTGGTGTGGACCAATCAGTTTCAAGGACAATGACATTATTTATTATCAGACGTCTCTGGTGTGGACCAATCAGTTTCGAGGACAATGACATTATTTATTATCAGACGTCTCTGGTGTGGACCAATCAGTTTCAAGGACAACGACATTATTTATTATCAGACGTCTCTGGTGTGGACCAATCAGTTTCAAGGACAACGACATTATTTATTATCAGACGTCTCTGGTGTGGACCAATCAGTTTCAAGGACAACGACATTATTTATTATCAGACGTCTCTGGTGTGGACCAATCAGTTTCAAGGACAACGACATTATTTATTATCAGACGTCTCTGGTGTTGACCAATCAGTTTCAAGGACAATGACATTATTTATTATCAGACGATGGTTTTTGTGTTTGTATTCTGACCACACGCATTGTGGTTAACGCAGTAACACGATTCCTCGAAAACAAAGGGTTTCAGTCTGGTGTTTTAACATTTTAACACAACTGTTTTTGTTGCCGGATAAATAGGGGGAAAACCCCTATTATCATATAAATTTTGTTTTGTTTTTAAAGTGCCGTAGTGATGGGGAGGTGAGGGGTCGGACGCGCGAGCGGGGGGGTCGTGGTGCCGGTTAGTAGATATTTTAAAACATGAATGAGTCCATTAATATAGATAAAAACCGCGCGGTTGTTTCGAGCGAAACGTTCGTCCTGAGTTGTAATTGACGTCAATTTCCATCGCCACTACTCGGGCTATGGGGGGTTGGTGGGTGGGGTGGGGGGGGTTGGTGGGTGGGGTGGGTGGGTTCGTGGGTGGGTCAGGTGGGTGGGGTAGGTGGGGTTGGTGGGTGGGGTAGGTGGGGTGGGTGGGTTCGTGGGTGGGGTGGGCTAGGGTGGGGGGGGTTGGTGGGTGGGGTGGGTGGGGGGTTGGTAGGTGGGGTGGGTTCGTGGGTGCGGTGGGTGGGGGGTTGGTGGGTGGGGTAGGGTTGGTGGGTGGGGTAGGTGGGGTGGGGTGGGGTTCGTGGGTGGGGTGGGTGGGGTTGGTGGGTGGGGTGGGGGGTTGGTGGGTGGGGTGGGGGGTTGGTGGGTGGGGTGGGTGGAGCTTAAAGATCCCAGCGCGTCTCTGACTGCTGCAGCTCCTTAGATCAATATTTGATATTAATTCACTTGGTATTAGTGGAGGGCTGGCTCGGGGTGGAGGGGAGTGGGTGGATTGGTCTTTGGGGGGGGGGGGCCTGATATTTTTTCATGGCTGAACAACAACCCCATTAATAATAATAATAGGGGCTTTCCCCTTTTTTCTAGCAACAAAACTGAAACCGTTTTGTACAATGATTCACGTCTGCATTAACCACAATACCTATGATACGCATCATAGTAATGTTTTTGTTTCCATTTTGACTTGCAGGTATTGTGGTTCATGCAGTAAAAATGAATCATCGTTAAAAGGTTAAAGTTTTATTGCCAGAAAAAAGGGGAAAAACCCCTATTATTATTACAATTTGGTAGTGGCAAAGAAGGTCTAATGAATCAACCCCATTGTTTAAAACCCCGCTGTGTATTCACACACGAAACGTCACGGGGGGGAGGGGTAATGAAAGTTTGACTATTATTATTTACGAAGATTTCCATTTGTTGTTGTTTTTTTTTTAAATGTGTGAACCTGGCGGCTGTTATCGCTGCTGCGACGGGGAATGTGCCCGTTGTGGGGGAGGCGTCTCCAGCAAGCGTCGCTCCTTCTTTCTCTCCCTTCCTGCTGCCAGTCGCCGCGCAAACAACGCGTAAGCGACGTTGGTCAATCCACCAGGCCACACACACATACACACCCAGCCAAGCCACACACCCACCCAGCCAGGCCACACACCCAGCCAGCCAACCACCCACCCACTCACCCACCCACCTAACCACTCAGCCACCCACCTAACCACTCACCCACCCACCCACTCGATCACCCAACCACCCACCCACCTAACCACTCACCTCAGCCACCCACCCGACCACACACCCAACCACCCACCTACCCACCTAACCACTCACCCACCTAACCACTCACCCACCCACCCACTCGATCACCCAACCACCCACCCACCTAACCATACACTCAGCCACCCACCCACCCAACTAGCCAACCACCCACCCGACCACCCAACCACCCACCTAAGCACTCACCCACCAACCCACCCGAAAACTCGCCCATCCTCCCACCTAACCACTCACCCACCCACCCGATCAGTCATCCCCCCAACTACCAGAACACCCAACCACCCAGCCAACGACCCACCGACCTAACCACCCACCCACCCGACCACTCATCCACCCCACCACTCATCCACCCAACCACCCACCCAGCCAACCACCCACCGACCTAACCACCCACCCACCCGACCACTCATCCACCCAACCACCCACCCAACCACCCACCCACCCACCTAACCAACCACCCACCCACCTAACCACTCACCTACCCGCGGCGGCGGCGTGAGTTGTTTTTGCGTGAGTTGAAACTGTGCGTGAGAATCTGTGAAAATGTGAGTGCGAATGAGCTGCGAGTGAGTGTGTGTGAGCCGTGAGTGTGATTAAGCCGTGAGTGTGAGCCGTGAGTGTGAGTGAGCCGTGTGAGAGTGGCCGTGACGAGAGGGACTTCTGCGTGTGTGATAGTGTGGTGATGTACACTCGTGTGTGTGTGTGATGGTGTACACTCTGTGTGTGTGTGATGGTGTGGTGATGTACACTATGTGTGTGTGATGGTGTGGTGATGTACACTCTGTGTGTGTGGTGTGGTGATGTGCACTCTGTGTGCGTGATGGTGTGGTGATGTACACTCTGTGTGTGTGTGGTGGTGTGGTCATGTGCACTCTGTGTGTGCGTGATGGTGTGGTGATGTACGCTCGTGTGTGTACCTGGCGCAGCCTGAGTGAGGCCTGGTTGGCCGTGCACCTGGTGCGGCCTGGGTGGGGCCTGATTGGTCGTGCACGTGACACTGCCTGAGTGAGGCCTAGCGAGATCGTGCGCCTGGCGCAGCCTGAGTGAGACCTAGCTAATAGTGCACCTGGAGCAGCGTGAGTGAGGCCTAGTTAATCATGCACCTGGCGCAGCCTGAGTGAGGCCTAG